GGCGCCCCGGGGCCGGCCGGCCTGAGGGAGGGCCCGCCTGGTCGTGCCCGGCCTGGGAGGGGAAGGGGTTCTGGCCTCGGGCATCCCTGAAATACAGTTGTACCAGGGAGAGAGCTTGGCTGGGGCCGATGGTTTTTGGAAAGGGAGGTCGGGAGCTCTCCCTCCACAACAAAAACCCATCTCTTTGGTTTTCTAACAGGACAGGTGAGCCTTTGGTACCACCGTAAATGCCTTTGGAGCCACTGTCAATGTGTTTTGCGTGCTAGGACACTCTTGTACATCTTCTAGTCAGTAGTGGTTTGACAGATAAATTAGGCATTCGCACATTACTTGGATACAGTGAGCCTCATTTGATCTAAAGTGGCCCCGTGGTGAAAGCACCTCATTGAATGCTTAATCAGCTGAAAATACGCATATCAAAAGATTTATGGCTGTTGAAGACGTGTGTTGCCACAGTCATTCACAGAAAGCGCTGAGAACATAGCCTTCCTCTTCATCAAGAAAAGGGTACTTGGTTTTGTTCAGAGGACAAAAGTGAAGGGAGGATGTGCCACTGCCGCTGTATATGTGTAATGGTTTTCTTCAAAGCATCTATTATTGTCTTATTAATGCTTACGTGTTGGAGAGTCAGTGTAAAAGAGAAGTTGAAGGAATGTGTTTGCTAAAGTGCTAGATGTTTGGTGTACAGGGATATCGATGTCAATTGGTATACGAATGGAAGCTGTAAGAAAAATCTCTGTATGCAGTGTTATTAGAGATGGGTAACTAATGCATCTGTGTACCGTAGTATGAGATGGGAGGAGGAGTGTCCTACCAGGTTAAAATAGGTACTGCAGGTGCACAGTCAAAGTACACAGATTAAGTGTAATTTCTGTGCGGTGCAAGAAAACTGTTTCAATAGAATCTTTCTCGCCTACTGTGAGACAATGTGGTTTTGATTTGTCAGTGAAAGATGGTAAAAGTAGAGCTAGAATAACATGTTATTAGAAATAGGTAAGGAATCCATTGTTTAGGAGGTTTCACTTTTCAGTTGGGCATTTTGGCATTTTGTTTAGTTTTCATTTACTTATCTCTTTAGCATGAAAGGAAAAGCACTGCAAATGGTTACATGAAATAAATCAGTTTACTGGGAGAGGATTTAAACAAGTTTTTTTTTATTTCTTTGTCTGTTAGTTTGTTTTATATCAATGCCTATGCCTGACTGTAGTCTTTCTTCCTAGAAACCCCAGCTGGTGGCCAGCAGTGACCGTTTCTGCCGCTTCCTCGAGGAATATTGCCCTGTTGTGACAGAAACTTACTATCCCACAATTTGGTGCTGGGAAGGTCGGGTGCAGACACTCCTGCGTCCCTTTATCACCTCTAGACCCCAAGTACAGTACAGGAAGTAAGTGCCTTTCTTCTGGAAAGTGACTGATTTGGTAGCCAGCAGTTACCTTACTCTGACTGTGTCACAGCTACCATCATTGCTCAAGCTTGTGCCCATTTTTTTGCTTTATCCCTGCCTTTACAACTCCATCCTAGGCTTGGAACCATCTCTATCCTGCATTCAATATACAGTAGGTTTAAAAGGTCAGTGTTCCCAAATCGCCTTATTTTAGCTCAGAGAGTTTTAGAGCACTGAAATATTGGTGACAATATAGGAATTGATGTGGTTGTATGTTCACAGGATCACACAATGATTGAGGTTGGACAGGATCTCTGGAGGTCACCTTGTCCAACCCCCCTGCTCAAGCAGGGACACCTAGATCTGGTTGCCCCAGACCATGTCCAGACGTTTTTTGAATATCCCTAAGGATGGTGACAACACAACATCCCTGGGCAACCTGTGCCAGTGCTCAGTCACCCTCACAGTTCCCTGACGTTTGGAGGGAACCTCTTGTGCTCCAGTTTGTGCCCATTGTCTCTTGCCCTGTCAGTGGGCACCACTGAGAAGAGCCTGCCTCTGTCCTCTTTATACCCTCCCTTCAGGTATCCATCTATTATAAAGACATTGACTAGATTGCCCTGAGCCTTTTCTTCTCCAAGCTGAGCAGTCCCAGCTCTTTCAGCCTTTTCTCATAGGAGCTATGCTCCAATCCCTTCCTTATCTTTGCGGCCCTTTGCTGGACTCTCTCCAGTATGTCCATGTCTCCCTTGTACTGGAGACCTCATAACTGGACCCAGTACTCCAGCTGTGGGCTCACTAGAGCTGAATAGAGGGGAAAGATCACCTCTGTTGACCTGCTGGCAATGCTCCTCCTAATGCAGCCCAGGAGGCTGTTGGCCTTCTTTCCTGTGAGTGTTCATTGCTGGCTCGTGTTCAACATGGTGTCCCAGGACCCCCGCATCATTTTCTGCCAAGCTGCTTTCAAAATAGTCATCCCCCAGGCTGTACTGGTGCATGGTGCATGTTCCTTCCCAGGTGCAGGACTTTGCACTTCCCCTCACTGAACTTCATGAAGTTCCTGTCAACCCATTTCTCCAGCCTGTTGAGGTCCCTCTGGATGGCAGCACAGTCATCTGGAGTATCAAACATTCTGGTGTTTGAATGCCATCATTTTGCAAAGGTCATGCAATCACTGTATCCGTCCACTGAACCAACATGTTCTACCTTAACCATAGCTTGGCCACATTCAGCATTGTTTCAAATATATAAAACTTTTGGGATTTTCAGAGTAACTGTTACCTGTGGGGTTTATGTTGTGTTGTTTGATGCCTGAATTCTAAGAGGAAAAAAACTTATATTTATTGTTTGTCCTCAGCTGATCTCTCTCGCACAGAAATGAGACTTAGTCTGGCAAATGAGGCATTTGGCACAAGACCTAAGGAGAAGTACTTTTATGCGCCGGAACCTGGATGCGGCACAAGTTGTTTCAGCTCTGTTTGCATGGTAGAATAGATTTAGCATTTAGCAGCTTCCTTTAGTTTTAGTAACTAGGAAACATTTCAGTGGTATGGCCATGTCCACTTTTTCTAGCCCTTCTTGTATACTCTCTATTACAAGGTTTGTGAGGGAAGAAACATAGTTCCATGGGGCAATGCTTATTTTGCACCATTTGAGATTGTGTTGGCAGTACACACCAGCATTGCATCTACTTCCCATTACTGAAAAAGGGCAAAGCTGAGCTAATGAATCCAACAAGGCTGATGAGCTTTAAAATCTGGAATAGGTGCTATCAAGACTTTCAAATGAAAAAATCAAATGCAAGGTAGGCTTAAATTTTGGTAGTTCCTACGCCAACTCTCTCATACAATGTCTTCATTGCCAGGAAGCGGGAAGATGCTGTATGTTTCTAAAAAAAAGTATAAAACCTTCTTGTCATTGTTTAATGCATGTTTAGGTTCTTGGGATATTATAATAGTTGTTGCATTCATAAGATATATGGTTTAAGAGTGCATTCTAGCAAAGTTTGTGGATATACAGGGTGAAAGATACAGTAGTGTGTGTCTGTGTTCTGTATGTTTAAAACATAACAAAGTGCCATCCATTATACATGCTGCTGCTTTGGATAAAGAGAAAAAAAAAGTGATAAATGTTTAACACATTGCCCAGTGTACTATCAAAAGATTCTCGGATGATCTAAATGCCAAAAATCACATTAGTTACAGGCTTCCAGTACAGCAGCAGCAATTCATGAAAGGCCAGCTCTTCATTTACTGTGAACTTGAATTACTCTACAAATTGACTGTGCTAACTCATGTCAGCTGTAGGCATGGCTCTTTCTGAATGGTAAACATGCAAACATACCTAGTTAGGTCGCACTTTGAGTATTAAAACATAATTACAAATGCAGAATTCATACCTGGTAATTTGTAAGCACTCAATAACATGCATGTATTTTTCAATCTAATCAGTGTTGTCTTGAAATGTGCCTTTCAGTGAGCTCATTAAAACAGCAGATGGAGGACAGATTTCGTTGGATTGGTTTGATAATAATAACAGCCTATATTATCCGGATGCCGGCACAAGACCCACTGTCCTGTTATTGCCTGGCCTGACAGGAACAAGCAAGGAATCCTACATTCTTCATATGATCCATCAAAGCGAAACGCTGGGATATAGGTGCTGTTGTATTTAATTGCTAGTATTTTGCTGCTTCTAATAAGATCAAATATAAGTATGTATATGTATAAGATGCCCTCCTAAGGCAAATGAGATCTAAAGACATTAGTTTATGTAAGAAAGTATTATTAGTAATAATAATAGTAGTAGAATTATGTAACAGGCAGTACATTCAGAAGGGCTGTTTTACTATCTACAGATGTGCCCCAGAGATTGCAGTGAAAGCAAGCTAAGTCTGCATAGGCCTTTGCTGCTGCTTCTTAAATTGTAATATCTGTATTTGTGTTACCTTTACACTTTCTAGAAAAGGGGTTTGTATTCAGCTCCAAGAAGACTCATGTGGATGGGTTGCTGGCAGCAGGCCTCAGAGGAGGTCAGCTTCTGAATGCCAAAATTACTTGATTCAACAGCCTCAAATCTGTGAGTGCAGAAAGGGGAGCTAGCCTGCTCTTACTGGTGGTTAAGGAAGAGGTTTGTCACCTTTTAGTTGTCACTGCTTAATATAGTTTTGTTATTAAGGCTTCTGGTCAGAGTTGGGTAAAATAAGTGGATTACTTGATGAGTAGATTCCTTTATGTAATCATATTGCTGCTGCTGTGCTTTAAAATAAGTTGTCATTGTTCCAGAATCTGTATTTGGAATATTACATTTTGTCTTTGCAGATTGGTACTTCTGGTACTGACTATAGTAAGTTCTTCAAATATGTATATGTGAGCAGTTATGTCTAGCTAGTCTGGCTAGCTGTTCTTTGGAGGTTTGGATAACTGCTTTACTAAATTATGAAAGTAAAGTAGCACTTTAAATGTTCAAAGTACTTTTAAAACCACTTTAAAACTTACCAGCAAAAAATATCAGAGGAGGAAAGCCCTCAAATCAACAATTTCTTACTATTAATTTTTTTAAGTGTTCCTGAAAGAAATGTCTGCATTTGATCACCTAAGAAAAGAATCACAGAATCATTAAGGTTGAAAAAGACCTTCAAGATCATCAAGTCCAGCCAACAACCCAACACCACAATGCCCACTAACCCATGTCCTGAAGTGCCATGTCTACACGTTTTTTGAACACTTCCAGTGATGGTGACTCCACCACCTCCCTGGGCAGCCTGTTCCAATGCTTGACCACTCTCTCCATAAAGAAATTTTTCCTAATATCTAATCTAAACCTCCCCTGGCACAACTTGAGGCCGTTTCCTCTTGTCCTATCACTAGTTACTTGGGAGAAAAGACCAACACCCACCTTGTCACAACTCCCTTTCAGGTAGTTGTAGAGAGCGATAAGGTCTCCTCTCAGCCTCCTCTTCTCCAGACTGAACAACCCCAGTTCCCTCAGCCGCTCCTCATAAGACTTGTGCTCCAGACCCCTCACCAGCTTTGTTGCCCTTCTTTGGACACGCTCCAGCACCTCAATGTCCTTCTTGTAGTGAGAGGCCCAAAGGTATAGCATTAAAAAGGACTTTAGATCAAATTTCAACGGAATGCTATAATTTGGTTTTTAAACAGCAACATTTGAGAAAAATACTAAAATAAGTAATTTTTTATGCCTTCAACCCATCTAAAATATGTATATATTATTTAACAAAATTATTACAGTGAGATGGTAGAAGCATAATAGAAAAGTAAGATTTATTAAGAAAGCATAGATCCTTAAATCAAGGTTATACTGCTAGAAAATTCAGAGACTCCCACCAGCATAGAGAGAACAGAAAATTCTGGTATACCAGACGCAAAAAAAAAAAATCCCCTCCCCAAGGACCTGCAACTTAGATGCAGCTGTCATTATAATTTTGATTTGGATCGTTTCCTGCTATTTAATACAATTATGCAGCTTTGGAGGATGTCTACACATGGATCTCTTGACATTCTCTTTCAGAGCACTGCTTTAGACTCAGCCCTGCACAGGCAGAGGTTATGGCTTGTATTTGGCCAGCTCAGAGTGCAGGCAGAACAAGATGCAGGTACCATCTTCAGGTAAACCCTGGGGCTTTCATCCTGCAATTTGACCTCGACCGGCAAATCACAGAGCTCATACAGAGTCCCACTGACTTCAGTGAACTCCATTTTGTTATAAAGGTTGTTCCACACAGGTCAGACTTTAGGATCTGTAGGACTGGAAATATTTATGTGCTGAACTTACTCATAGAACTGGGTTGTTTTTCTTTCTGCGTTTTCATTTTTTGGTATGTTTAAGTTACTATTTTTAGCGGAATGAAAATGTGTATAATTGAATTTACTGTCTCAATTTTTAGATGCGTGGTTTTTAACAATCGGGGAATTGCTGGTGAGGATCTTTTGGTAAGGACGACTTCTAAGATAAACATCTCTCACATAAGTGGCATATGTGGACTTACTCGTGTCTATTTGTATGGCTGGATTTAAATGATAGAAACTCACAGCATATGTTGAAAATGCAGAGAAGAGAATCTAGTCATCTGGTAGATCAATCGTGTGCCAATATTCATCTTTTATTTTAAAGCTCAGAGGTCAACTGGTCAACTCACAATTTTTGTGAGCATTTCATTTTAGGAAATTATTTAAATTATTAATATCTGCAACATTAAAATGAACAATCCTTATGCTTTTCTCTCCAGAAATACTGTAGTATCTAAAACATACACATCCAAGAAATTCTGTTCAATCAATGTAATTTTCTCTTGTTGTTTTAACATAAAAATCCAAATATAAGCAGTCATAATTACTGTCCCAATTGCCAATATGAGTTTAAAATAGATTTTGATATGGTTAAAAATTTGTGCCATTAAAATTGATCTGTATTATGTGTTATTGAATTAGTCAACCACATTTTTATGGATAGCCATATCCTAAAAGTTAAATGTGTTCTTGTATTTTTCTCAGTAACTATGACACAAACTCGGCTACAAAAGACATTTTTTGGTTTTGGGACAGACATCATGTTTGCTTAGAAATAACTGGCAATTCCACAAATGACAAAGTCTGGAAGCTAAACGTTTTCTGCAGCTAGGGACAAGGCATGATAAAATATTGCTGAATAAGCTTTGTTTCTTCATATGAGTTTTGTTGACAGTTCTGCAGCTGGACTGAACGTGCATAATACTTGGTATTGTTTTGCATTTTTTAATCCCCTGGTTTCAAACTTTAAAAAGCTCAGAATGCTTTCCCATAATCAGATAAAGCATTTCAATGCAAATATTGCCATGTTAAGAGTAGTTTTCTGCATACTTTTGGAGATGGATCTACAAAGCAGTTTTGTGACACACAAAGTCCTTATTGATGAATTTCTGAATCATTAAGAGAAAAGATCTCTTGTTTGGATACATTGTGTGTATTTTACTATAATCGGATTTACATCTTTAAGCTTTATAAGATCTTACTGTGAAGCAAGCCAGCTGAAATTATCACATTTTCTGCAATGGGTTTTCTACATTTTAATATAAAATCCCTAGTTAATGAGTTTGAAGCATAGTTGAGCACCACAGTAGAAATTAGTCATGCAAGTAGTTCTTTTTCTAGTCTCTTTAAAGATAGATTCAAATTTTCACCAAATAATACCTATTTAAAGAATCAGTTTTAAAATGCTATTCTCATTTGTTATTGAAATTTACTGTGAATTATTGTTGTGGAATAATCAAATATTAGATTGACCACAGCCAATGTGAGCTAAGATGGTGTTTTAAACTATCTTCATACCATGAGTAGATAGACAGACATTAAAGTGTCAGGAATTAACTGAAATTAAAGTGCAACATCTCTCTCCCATTTTGTAAACTTTTAATCAAATACACTTTCACGTAGAATACATTAGACCCTACTTACCAAAAATAATTTATTTTTCCTTGTAAACTTGACAATTTAATTAAAGTAAAACACATTCACACTGCTTATAATTAATAGGGTGTAAAACAGTGAAGAGTGATTCATGGGGATGAGAACTGGAAATTCAACATAAATGGAAATTAAAAACCTTTTCAGTTTTAATTATCCAGATTTAGCTTTTCTTTCCTTTTTATTAATCTTTGACTTCAACATTTCAATATTCTTATTGAATGTATTTTAAGTAATTTGTTTCATCTAATTAAACTTGCTAAAACTTCTTACAAATATCCAGACTGTTTAACTGAAAACAATTAAAAAACAACAACCCTTAAAATACATTGATGCTTCAGGCAACAAATAAGTTCAATTTAAGTTATTAAGTATTTTTAGATTTAGTTTTAATGTTTATACTGAATTTTGGCATGCCAGCCGCTACCTACAGATAAGTCAAGGTCACTAACATGTTAGTAGCAACTCTACAGTTAAAAGCTCTCTTTTTCAGGAGATGAAATCTAGAGAACACCATTAGAATAAAAACTATTTTACTGTGATTCTTATTGTACCTAAGAGGACTTATCTTCCTTATACTGCTCCAGAGAGTCCCCCATATTGTGGCCTGTAGCAGCTGTCTGTGCACGTGAGGCTCAAAAGCTGTGCTTATCCTTCAAAAGCAAGGAAGGGGTTCCCCAAATCTCAGTGAAGCCAGTGGAAGTCATTCCAAGTCTCAGTTCAGGATTTGAAAAGACACTGATGGTAGATTGAGAAGGGATAATATATCCCTTTTTTAATTGCTTTAGTTAATACAATATTTTGTATTAACAAAATTAAACAATATTTAGTAACTATTAAAACAGTAAATTAGGTAAATGGCACTGGTGAATTTATCTACTTATGTGCTTGTATGGTGTGTAGAATCTAAATATTGTCTACTTTTCAAATGCTAGCTGACAGAACTTGAAAGCTAATATTTTCTTTTGCATTTGAATGTGGGTAAAGATGGTAAAATTGTCATTATAACTTTATTTTCTGTAAATTGCAGCATTTACTATACGTTTACGTTTCTTCAGGGTATTTTAAAAATATTGGTGCCTATCTAGTTCTGATCTAGTTCTGTCTAGTTTAGCTCATTGCTCAGTGTTCAGATTTCATCTAATGACCTGGAGGTTGCAAATACTGAAGATATATGTCACCTGTTTTATTTTGTAATGATAACAAGTGTAACTCCTTCGTCCACCTCCTCGTGAAATGCTCTGGGTTTATATTTGTCATTTAGCCCAGCTTCACAATAAATGCTAAATTTATCTTGTTATATAAATGATCCACTGTTCAGTTTGCTTTGTCCTTAAAGGATAATACAAAAGCTTATGATGGCATTTTTCCCTCTGACTCCTTACAGACACCAAGGACTTACTGTGCAGCTAACACAGAGGATTTAGAGGCCGTTATTCGTCATGTACACAGCCTGCACCCCTCAGCTCCATTCATGGCAGCCGGTGTTTCTATGGGAGGGTAAGATATTATGTAACAAAAGTCTCAGCTTAACTATGATTGTAAAATAAGACTGTTGTAGCCTGATTGTAAATCATTACTCTGCAATATTTGCCTTACTTACTGAACTGCAACTAACTTGGGTCTGTCCAACAGTCAATACTCAGAAGACTTTTGGAAACTTTGTATTTTTGAGGCTTTTAGCTTGGTGACAGGGAAGGTCAAAATTGGCCAACATTCAAAAATTGAAGGGGGTGGAGAAAGACAGGAAACACTGACAGACAGATTGACAGCCAAACAGGTGGGCAATACAATCTTTGGAAACTATGGAGGCTGTATTTGGAACAGAGGGGGAAAAAAATAGGAACTAGAACTAACATACCATGTTTCTTAGCAACCTCTGGAAATTACAAGGTTTATCTTCACTCTGGGTTCTGCAGTGTGTGGGTAGGTTAAGCTGGAAGAGGTGTGGGTATCTGCTCTGTCTGGCTCAGAAGCAAGTAGTATTGTTGTTGAAACCGGTATGGGTTGATATAGCATGTGGTATTAAGACTTGCTGGCCTGGCTTCTCTCCAGAAAGCACAGCTAAAACAGACAATGATAGCACAGTTTCTTAGAAAAATCACTGCTAGAAGCTAGAAGAAATGTTCAGACAGCCTCTTTAAGAAAAATCGTAGGAGAGGAGAACTTCCATTAGAAATACTGCAGACACAATGGTAACTTCCTGAGACTTCCCTTCTTTCTGATAAATTTTATGGAGGGTGGGCAGATATAGCCCTGTGTATTGACATTAATCTACTAATAACTTGTAGAAGCTTTGGGATAAATACAGATTTGTTCAAGCAGTATAGTTATTGATACTCCAATAAATAAGTAACTTGGAAGCCTTTTAAATCAGGTCAATCTTTTTCCACTCACGTTGCTGGGATTTTGCCAGTCTTTGGTATGAAGACATATGAATCTCTTCAGTATGTCAGTGCCTATCTTGCTGGGAAGCCCAAAATTTGGCACAGTACTCCATATACAATCTCATAAGTGCCAAATACAGGGAAATAATAATTTGGTTTGCTTGTTTTGCTCTTACAAAGCACAGTATGTCATTATTCATCTTCATTGCTGCAAGGGTGCATTGCTGAGTCATGTTCTGTTTGCCCAGGTCTTTTTCAGCTGCTCTCTAGCCAGTCATTAATCTGTCCTAGGTGCAGGTCTTTGCTTTTGCCTTTGTTGAACTTCATGAGGTTTCTGCCAGCCTATTTCCCCAGCCTGTTGAGGTCCCTCAGAATGGCAGCCCTGTCTTCCAGTTCACCAGCCGTTCCCAACAATTGGACCCGCAAGCTTACTAAGGGTGCATTCCATCTCATAATCCAGTTAATGAAGACATTACACAGTATAGGCCCCATTATTGACCCCTGAGGAACACTACTAGTATCTGGTCCAGCCACTCCAGTTGGACTTCAAGTTCGTGATCACAACTCACTGTGCCTAGTGGTCTAGTCAGTTTTCCATACACGTTGCAGGTCACCTATTCAGACCATGTCCCTCCAATTTGGCTACATGGAGACCATGTAAGACTGTCAAAAGCCTTGTTAAAGTCAAAATAAGCAACATGCATTCCTTTCCCCTAGTCAACAAAGGCAGTCAGCTCATCGTAAAAGGCTCAGGCCAGTTTGCTCAGGCATGCTTTGTCCTTGGTAAATCCATGCTGGCTGTTATCAGTCACCTTCTTTACCTTTACATACTTGGAAATGCCTTCCAGAGTATATTCCCAAAGCGCTGAGGTTAGGCTGACCAGCCTGTATTTCTTCCTTCTTGCCATTCTTGTATATGGGTCCCTTTTTTCCCAGGCATCAGGAATATTCCACAGTTGCTGTAAGCTTTAAAAAGTCAAAGAGCAGTCTCATAATGACATTGGCTGCCTCCCTCTGGAGTTTTGGTGCACCTCACCTGGTCCCATTGACATGTCTATGCCCAATTTGCATAACTGGGCCCTAACTTGATCTTCCTCTGCCATGAGTAATATTTCATTTCCCATACCCTGCCGCTAGGCACAGGGACTTAGGAGTCTTGACAACAGACCTCAGCAGTAAAGACAGGGAAGACAGGTAGCCTCTACTTTTTACAAATCTTCTGTCACTTGGTCCCCTGCTCTGTTGAATAGTGGTCCCAGGAGGGAATAAAGGCTGCTCAGACTAACCTCACTTCTTTGGGAAGATCCTCTGGAAGCCATTTCCAAGCATATGAAAGATAAGAAGGTGGCTGGATTCATGAAGGACAAAGCATGCCCAAGTGATCTGACTGCCTACTATGATGAGGTGACTGGCTTCACTGATGAGGGGAAAGGAGTGGATGTTGTTTGTTCTGAGCCTTTTCTGTGCCAATGTACTTAGAGAAGCCTTTCTTGTTGCAGAAGCCTTTTTCTTGTTGTCCTGCATATCCCTTGCTAGTTCAAATTTCAGCTGAACTTCACTTTTCCTGACTGCACCCCGGCCTGCTTGGGCAGTGACTGTTTCTCCCAGGCAGCTCACCCCCCATCCACCTTCAGGATACTTCCTTCTTGAACTCAGTCAGGAGTTTTTTCTTCTTCCATGTGGTCTTCTGCCACTCTTGCTCAACTTCCTGCACATCAGCATGTACCACACTTGTGCTTTATGTTCAGTTATCCTTAAGGCCAAAGAGTTCTCCCAGACCTCTCTGCCCATCGGGGCCATCTCACATGGGATCCTGCCAAGCAGATCCCTGACCGAAAATCATCTGCTGTAGAGGCTTGTTTCAATGATGAGATACAGATTTAAAGCACTGTAGTTCTTCATGGGTAGCTTCATGTGTGGTGCACCATTACACTAGAACTAAAAGGGCTGGGATGTAGTAGGTGAAGAATTGGGTTTTCAGGGCTGAAGGTACAGTTCTACTGGTGCTGTTCTGTGACTGGTACAACAGACCAGTTCAGACCTTAGTGTCATTTCTGTCCTTGGCTTAACCTAGATATGGTATCCTAAATAGTGGCGAAGTCTGTTAGCATGGTACAGGGGATCTGTGTGTTTCTGACTTTTACCTCATCACCACCATTGGACAATTTTAGGCAAGATCACAGAATCATTAAGATTGGAAAAGACCTTCAAGATCATCAAACCCAACCAACAACCCAACACCACCATGCCCACTAAACCATACACTGAAGTACCATGTCTACATGTTTTTTGACCACCTCCAGTGATGGTGACTCCCCCACCTCCCTGGGCAGCCTGTTCCAATGCTTGACCACTCTCTCCATAAAGAAATTTTTCCTAATATCTAATCTAAACCTCCCCTGGCACAACTTGAGGCCGTTTCCTCTTGTCTAATCACTAGTTACTTGGGAGAAAAGACCAACACCCACCTCGCCACAACACCCTTTCAGGTCTCCCCTCAGCCTCCTCTTCTCCAGACTAAACAACCCCAGTCCCCTCAGCCGCTCCTCATAAGACTTGTGCTCCAGACCCCTCACCAGCTTTGTTGCCCTTCTTTGGACACGCTCCAGCACCTCAGTGTCCTTCTTGTAGTGAGGGGCCCAAAACAGAACATAGTATTCAAGGAGTGGCCTCACCAGTGCCGAGTACAGGGGCATGATCACTTCCCTACTCCTGGCCACCCTGTTTCTGATACAGGCCAGGATGCTGTTGTTTTGGATGTTCCACCTTCATCCTCCAATATGTTTTTGAAGTCCTGAACCACAAAGAGAAAGCATATGCTTAATTGTACAGAAAACTGGAAGAGTCTCTAATCATCCACATGGGGACTGTTTCTATGCTTCAAAATTAATTGGAGCACTTGCATGTTTAAAATGAAGCAGAAACAGAGATCTCACCAGGGGCATATTTTGAAAATCATCCACTTGTCTTAATCTTACAACATTTTTATTATCCATCCCTTTTCAAAATTTTCTGAATAGCCAGTTAGTCTATATAGGACACATTTGCCCAATTAGGAAGAAGAATAAACATTCACTTCACAAAAGGTGTAAACGTAAATGAAAGCCCACTTGTTTTACTGATCTTCAGTATATATTATTTTGGAAAGGGACCTTGTTTTCTAACATAAAGATTCCTAAACCTTCTCTCTAGCACATATATTCTGTGAATTCTGTTAGAGAAGTGGCTGCTTCTACTACTGCAACTTTTTTTAATTGGTTTATGGTTCAATGTTCTTACAGTATATAGACTGGTGACTCAGGTTCTTCCTCTTCTGTGGGTGAAAGGGAACATACACTACCTACCTCCTATATGTGCCACAGGTGACTTTCCTCATTGGGTTCAACTGAGCTGATATCAGGAGCTCACTCCCAAGTGCTCTTTGCTGTCCTTTTCTTGCTGGTTCCTACTGTCATGGTTTAGCCCCAGACAGCAACCAAGCACCACGCAGCCACTTGCTCACCCCCCCACGGTGGGACGGGGGAGAGAATCGGAAGCGAATCAGAAAGGTAAAAGTGAGAACACTCGTGGTTTGAGATAAAGACAGCTTAATAAGTAAAGCAAAAGCCGCGCACAAAAGCAAAGCAAAACAAGGAATTCATTCTCCACTCCCCATGGGCAGGCAGGTGTTCAGCCATCTCCAGGGAAGCAGGGCTGTATCATGCGTAATGGTTTCTTGGGAAAGCAGACGCCATCACTTCAAACGTCCCTCCACCCCCTCCTTCACCCCAGCCTTATATACTGGGCATGACGTCATATGGTATGGAATATCTCTTTGGCCAGCCTGGGTCAGCTGACCTGGCTGTGTCCCCTCCCAGCTTCCCCTGCACCCCCAGCCTTCTTGCTGGCACGAGAAGCTGAACTGTCCTTGACTACTTAGCAACAGCTCAAAATTTCAGCATGTTACCAACATTTGCTCATCCCAAATCCAAAACATAGCCTCACACTAGCGTCTATGAAGAAAATTAACTCTACCCTGGCTGAAACGAGGACACCTACCAACTGGTAAGTCTTTGGTAATACCAAAGAGTGGTTTCCCTTTTGCATTGCTGTCGTATGATTTGGTAGGTAGCGCACGGGTATAAAGTCTCTGTGATGGCAAGCTGGTTCATGATGTCTTTGCTAAAGGTTGCTGTCTCGTGAAGTATGGTAGATGAAGCCAAGGTACGGAGTGTTGGTGGTCCAGGGTGCTGTGTTAAGTTGTATAACTTGTAGTGTTTTGAGTTTAAGGCTTGGTATTAAAAAGCTGGTTGTAAACTTTGGGGCCTCAAGCGGTAAAGTAAGACTTACAGCTTTTCTGTCAGTATTTTTCTTTTACTCTCTTCCTGCTATTGTAATGTTTCTACATTTGAAAGGTCAGGTACTGGTGAACTCTCCCCTTTTTTCAACTCAACTATACATCAGTAGTAGAGACTAAGTTTCAATTGGTCAGAAAGGCAAGACTTAAGGCATTTATTTGGCTCATAATTTTGTTTTGCTAGTTTTATTAATTATCCAACACTTCATTCTTTACATACTTTGTGTTAAAGAACAGCTGTGTTCTCTCATATGTGTGAGGTGGGGTAGAGGCATTACCTTCAACTCAAAAGACAGCTTCATAGTGAGGCAGGCGTGCCAGGGACAGCTTGCATTTGTCAGACACGCTGATCAGGTTTATCAGCTTGGGAAGACCAAGAGCTTGTAAAACAGTAAAACTTACTAACAACTTGGGAATACTTGTTCCATGAGTAAGATGCATTTATTTGACCTTTTCCTCCCTTTTAGTGATATAAATAAGACTAGTATATATCTGTTTATTTCTAAATGCACTCCTACCCACATCCTACACAGTGTGCTCAGTTCATCTCTGACAGTAGAGAGAGAAAGCAAACTTCATGAGTCATATGTGATTACATTGACTACCTTTTAGAAGTATTAGGCACAACTGTAGGGCTGATACAAGAAACTATTGAAAAACAGACAAAAAGGTGGCTGATTGTTATATTTGCTTTAAATTGAAGCAAACAATTTGATAGTATATATGTTTCTGTTTTTCATTTCTGTTTGTAGCATGCTTCTTTTAAATTACCTGGGCAAAACTGGCAGAGACACTCCTTTAATGGCAGCTGCAATTTTCTCTGCGGGTTGGAATGTTTTTGAATCTGTAGAATCTCTGGAGAAGCCACTAAACTGGCTTCTTTTCAACTATTACTTGACTACTTGTCTACAATCCTCTATCAGCAGGTGAGTTGCCTTCTAAACTATTTAGCAACATGGAAGGATGTTAGCATGAGATCTACAGGTATAATAATACTGTCAAAATTAATGCTGTAACAACACAGCTGTTCTATGTGCATTCTTCTGTAAATTTTGAAATGAAAAGGATCTTTGCAAGAAAGATTGTCATCAATGTGACTAAATTTCTCTGCTCCTCAACGGACTCGGCCCAAGACCAATGTACTTTTATATTTATGGATGAAATTAATGGATTTTTTAAATTTTTACACGTGCACATGTTGACTTTGAGTATATATGTGTATATACTAATTCTTTTAAGACAGCCTTGAATGCAAAACCATGGAAGGGACTAGTTCATCCTTTGCTTTGCAAAATTAGGGTGTGTTTTGTATTCCCAAATATTTAATTCTCTTAAATTCTCTTACGTTTCACATCTTCCTCATGGCTCCTGCAGATTTTTACTACGTTGCTGGATGTGCCTGCATATAAATGAACAATTCTTCTGCTCTTGGATTACAGACATAGTTTTAATATGACAGAAAATTAAAACCAAGCATGTTCTTGTTAGGGAGTTATCTCTGTAAAGGTATCTATAAAGCAGAGGACTTCTACATCTGTTTATATAACAAAAAATGAGCCTGCCAATTTTCCTCTCTTTCTTTTTAGGCATCGACAAATGTTGGAGAAATTATTTGATATGGATCTTGTGATGAAGGTATGTGAAAATGTTACTTCTGCTTTAGCCAGATGCTGTTTTCCAAGTGCTGACATAGTTCCCTATTTGAATTCTGTACTTCAGGCTAGAACTGTTAGAGAATTTGATAAGCAGTTCACTTCAGTCATGTTTGGCTACCGTACAATTGATGATTACTACGAAGATGCTAGCCCATGTCGCAAGCTGAAGTCAGTAGGAATTCCAGTGTTATGTCTAAACTCTGTGGATGATGTTTTCTCACCAGGTCATGGTAAGTTTAGGCTTTTTAAAATTTACTTATCTGTATATGCAATCATTAAGACAAACTACGTAGGTCTGAGAATGAACTCAGACCTATGTGTGGAGGTGTATTTAAATGTTACTTGTACATAGGATGAAAACTTCCAGGGATGGATCAGTCTTGCAATTTACTTACAGTGTAAGACGCATATAAAACAGCTGATGATGGAGAGACCCAATTAGTACAGAATGCAGAGGTACATGGGGTGGCAATCACTAGCCATTAGTAGACTCTGTACATTCAAAAGAAAGAAATATGCACGTTTACAGTGTCACTTATTTCACTGTAAGGAAGATATCAGGTGTATTGTCCTCTCAGAAGCACCCATTTCTATTCAACAAGTACAAAGACAGCCTATAATGGGGAACTCAGATACAGATGTCTGGACTGTAGACATTCAGAATTCAATGAAAGGGAAAACAAGGATTTTTTAACTGCCATTTTTCAATCCAGTCCATACAAAGAATGTCAGGGAGTTGCTTATGTTTCAGATGACTTGAAATCTTCAGTCGTTTTTGCTCATGATCTCAGTACCACCTCCAGTGTCTGAAAATTCAAAGTAAGAAAAAATGCAAGTTTGCGTGTAGGCCAAATTCTAGGTGAGCTCCTAGAAGGAGGCATGTTGAAATTAATAGGAATCTAACTAGAAGATGAAGCAGATAAGGGAAAACAGAGTTTTCAGCCTTTCTTCCTATTTTCTGCCAAACACATGATCATTACGAACATTTTGCTTTTGATCTGAAGATCAAAACCCTGTTGCTGACTGTCTTAAAAAGATATGCTTGTTCTTGTGGTGTGTGTATTATAGTGCCTGAGAAGAGAGGGAGAACAAAAGTTAATGTAGAGGAAAACCACTATAATGAACAGCTGGTTGAGGGGAGAGTCTTCAACAGAGAACACCTGACACTTTTAAATATGAAGTTCATATGCTTGATTTATTTTAGGAAACTTTTTCTTCTGCTACCACAAGTCAAGTGAGATTCTTGTAGAATGAGTCACAAAACCAAAGTGAGTAGGCAAACAGATTAGAACAACAAACAGAAGAATGAAGGAATTGGAAGGGACTGTGTGTGTGTGTGTGTACTGTTTATCTGTGCTCAGATGTACAACACATACAGAAACATGCACACATTTACATTACTATTTATAGTTTGAAGACCTGTTAGAGACAAATGTGACATGAAAAGAAAAGGGCCACTCCAGTGGAGTGCACTAGAAAAAAACAGTCTGATTTCTTCTCCTCTTGAACAAAAAGAATCCACACTATGCATGAACTATATTGTTCTATATATTGTTATATATTGTATAAGAGGTGACAGCCACCCTATATGAGGGGAAAAAAAAATGGTGACTCTGGATTAGCCAAACTACCTATCCCTTATGTTGGCCAAAACAGAGACTTAAAAAAAAGTAAGATCTGGGCAAACAATAGCAGTACTCCTCCAGAATACTGCATCCACCTTCAACAATTTGCAGTCCAGGAACTTTCTGAGCCAGTTAGTCCCTTTGTATTTACTAGCCTCTATGGGTTTATTTTTTTCTTCTCTTGAAATTGGCCAGTTGCTCTTTCTGTTATAAGCATATAATATCCTGGAAGTGAGAATGGGTGGGGCCATGACCCTAAAGTCTGTGTCCAAATATAAAATCTTGCTAGTGATTCTGAAGATAAATTTTTGTGGACCTTATGACCCCAGGGATGACTTTCTCCATAGTCACCCGCAAGGTGGGTGATCTGCTGTGCCATGGTTCTGCCATTAAGTATCTTAGAGAGGCTTCACCTCTATGTTTAGCTCTAGGTCTGTTTGTGGTTTCTGTTCTAAAAAAAGTAGTGACTGTGGCAGGAGTAAGCTAGCTAGTTAGCACAAGTAACAGCAGCAGTGAAGCAGATAGTATACCTCTGTCCCTGGAGGATTTGTTAACCTTTTCCAGCCTATTACCACTGGGACTGGGACCTTTGTTAGGTAGATTAAAGCTAGTGCAGATACTCCATCCCCTTGACTCTTCATTTTAGAATATAACCTCCAGCTCTCAAGACCCAACCATTGACCTTGACCCCATGAAATTCAATCTGATCACAAGAAAATCCGTATTTACTGTGAGGGTGGTCATACACTGGTATAATGAGGTGGTGGGGTCTCCATCTATGGAGATACTCAAAACCTGATTAGGTAACTGCTCTAGGTAACCCTGCTTGAGTAGGGGGGTTGGACTATATGAACTCAAGAGTTCTTTTGCAGACTCAACATTCCTGGGATTGTGTAGTTTGACTAGCCAAAAGACTGAGTCTCCTAGAGTACAGCTGTAGCAGATCTCTCCTCCCTTGGAGCTGGTTTTTAAAAGAAACACAACTGTGAACAGTGGATTATAGGGATGGTCTCTTGTGTAAAATTAAGTATCAAAGCTATTGTTAGAATGCCTTAGAAGTCTTGCAGTAGAGAGGGGTAAGGTGGAGCACCATGAAGAACCTGAAACAAGAAGTGTTAGAGGCTGTTGTAATGACTGTCCATGCTCTCTTAAACTCTGACTCTAGCCAGCCTTTCTCCATGAAAATGTTTGGGTGGTTCGGCATTCATTTATTCCTTGTTCACAGAGGTAATGCTGTTGGCTGTAAACCGTCCTTATGGTAACTAGCTTACCTTAGAAAGGCAGGATAATGCTGATTTACAGCTAATAGCATGACTCTGTTATGTGCTTGTAATGTATCCTTGGCTCCGTTTTCATTTGTGCTATGCACCCTCAGTATGAAAGGTTGGGCTGGCAGGAGACACAGGGCACCCTGATTAGCAGCCTAGAACTTATGGCTGCTGCCATCAGTTACTGGAGTTCATTCATCTTGGCACTTTTGCAGGATGTTTTATGTTAGCAAGCATAAAGGGCTGGTGTTACTTGGGGAGGTGACTTCATTCTAGCAACTGGCTTGTTTTTTCTGACTTAAAAGTGTGTGGACACATGTAAGCCTGTGGCAAGTAGAGGCAGTTTCCATTCACAACTGTGTAATGGATTCAAGGCCACAAAATTTCTTCTCATCCAGACCCCAGTCTTTTATTGACTTTGGGGACAGGTTATTTTATGCCTCATCTCTCCTAATAATATCTACCTTCCACCTCTGTTGTAGACAGCTGTAGCTTCTGACAGCTGGGCAACAGCTAGAAAACTCATTAGGGGGAAAGCTGTGCCGGAATTCCTTTGTGTTTAAATATCCTTTATAAAGCCAACTACACCTATCTTCCTATAACAGAGCTTGGGGGATGCAAGCTCCAGTCTGCTTTGTCACTACGCAATATGGACCTAAAGAGAGACCTCCTTTAAAAAGGGCAGATGCTGTCTCTGGTGCCTCTTACTACCTGATTTCTTCTCATGTAGCTTTTTGGTACACTTTGTACTTCCCAGCCATTATTTTTGAATATATTGTGAAAAAGCACCCTTTGATCTCAATCCAGAATCAGGAAGAAACAATTCATTTGCAGTCCTTCGTTAATGTTGCTGTTTAAAGTTCATAGAGCTCAGCAGCCAATGTATCTGTAGTTTAATTCTGGAATGCAGTTCTCATATTGCACAATACCAACTAATGAAAACAAATGCTTTCTTCATTGCATGACACTTCTCTCACCATAACTAATTTAAATGAGCCATTGCTTCAGGAAATATGTAATATAACCAAGTCAACCCCTTTTATTTTGTAAGTGTCAGAAATAAATCAAGAAGATGGAATGATAGCATTCATTATCAGTGTCACATTTAACTTTTCATCTGAAGTGGTGTTTTTCTCCTCAGAAACTTCAAGCAGTGTATTAGGCTTCTGACTTAAATTTCACTATACTAATGCTTAGCTAATTGCCACCTGTGAGTGTTGTGCCCAAGCTGAAAGCCTGTCCTTGAAGCTAGGTACCATGTCAGCTGCGTCCTGATCCACTGTGCCAAAAAAGTGCATGTCTGAAGCTCAGTTATACTTTTTACTGAACTCTCAGAGCCATTTCTGTCCCTCTGAATCCAAACATGGAGTAATTGCTCTTAGGTGTTATTTTGCATCCTATTATGTAAACAGCACAGTTGAATAAAGTTGTCTGGAGAGACCAAATGGCAAAGAAATGGCCAGATGGATAAAAATTAGGGTAAAAGTTTAAGGAATAGGGAGAAATCAACCAAACAATGGAATAGAAAGCCTGACAGCAGTGACTTATTTAAGCTGATGCTGCTTCACATATAAGTTTTTCCATTGTTCTTTTTTTTTTTTTTGTGAAGAACATAACACCAAATTGATTTTGAACAAGGTAATTCTGCACATACGTATTTACATTGTGGTTCTGTGATCACAAATAACAGGTCTGTGCCTGCTGGATCAAACAGCAGGACAGATTTTGGTCAGTAGAAACGTAAGTACAAGGTTACATATGGACAAAAATTAACAGTAGTATCTCTTGGCTATGCCATCCTGTATCCTAGAGTGCATCACATCCAATCCTCCATTTATCTGTCCTGTTACATTGTGGGTTTATTTGTGGATGGCTAACAGTCCCTAGAAACAGCCTTGAGAAAAGTACCACACCACTGCCAAGCGTCATTTGCATTTTGTGTTGATCTCCAGTGCCAACATATTCAATTCTCTGCTGAGAAGCTGCAAAGCAAGAAACTCTGCTGGGGGGGAGTCATACAAACGGTGACCCAACTGTATCAAGACTGACTATGCCAAGGGCAGGCTCTCCTGTTCACCACAGGGGAGGTAAGAGCAGAGAGGTAACAGCATGTCAAAATTGGCACCTACTAAAAATCCTCACTGCAGGTGGAAGCCAATGATGGCATATTCAGCACAATGCTGCAGCTTGTGATAAAAGCGATGACCTGTGACAGAATTCTGCTGTAAACTCATGTTGGTTAGAACAGGGAGAACTTCAGGATGGGGAAGATGACATCTCTAAAGATCTCTGTGTGGCTCACACCTTACCTGGCACAGAAGATAACCAGCATCCTACTGTGGGTAGGCCTCTAGGAGAGAACTGCTGCAGCTGTTTGGAAGCAGGCAGCACATGGCACCCACTACAGCATTGCCAGTCAGTTTGGAAAGGAATAATTAACAACCAGCAAACTCATTTGGCAGGTATTGTTAAGCTGGCAACCACTGAATGACAGGTATGCAGAGGTCACAGTGCACTTTGCCTGTAAGGGCTTCCCCAGCTGGCTTGTCACAGCAGAGGAGACATTTACTGTCATCTCCCTTCCACATCCCCAGCAAAGTGTGCCCAGGTGACCAAGAAGGCCAATAGCATCCTGGCTTGTATCAGCAACAGTGTGACCAGCAGGACTAGGGAAGTGATCATTTCCCTGTGCTTGGCACTGGTGAGGCTGCAACCTGAACCTCCTGTGTTCAGTTTTGGTGCCCTCGCTACAAGACATTGAGGTGCTGGAGTGTGTCCAGAGTAACAAAGCTGGTGAGGGGTCTAGAGCACAAGTCTTACAAAGAGCGGCTGAGGGAACTGGGCTGCTCTGGGGTTGTTCAGTCTGGAGAAGAGGAGGCTGAGGGGAGACCTCATTGCTCTCTGCAACTACCTGAAAGGGGGTTGTGGCGAGGTGGGTGTTGGTCTCTTCTCCCAAGTAACCAGTGATAGGACAAGAGGAAATGGCCTCAAGTTGCACCAGGGGAGGTTTAGGCTGGATATTAGGAAAAAAATCTTCACCAAAAGGATTGTGAAGCATTGGAACAGGCTGCCCAGGGAAGTGGCTGAGTTTAAATAGCTCCCTGGAGCTATTTAAAAGAGGTGTAGATGTGGTGCTTAGGGACATGGTTTAGTGGTGGACTTGGCATTGCTAGGTTAATGGTTGGACTTGATGTTCTTAAGGATCTTTTCCAGCCTAAATGATTCTATGATTCTATGATATTTCTCTCTATGCTGTGACACTAATCTCACAAAGTAAATGACCATCATGTTTGTGTACAAGCTCAGCTAGTCAAGATGTTCAGGCCAGTATGCAGCTGATCCTGAACCTATCAGGATTGATGGAGTTCTCATGTTGTCTCTGATTCTTGAAGATCAAGTCTGTCTCTCCTCACGCACTCCTCCCCATACCCTTGCATATAAGCCTATTCATTAGCCCCTTCAGTGACCAGGGAGACAGCTGCAGAATGGCCATGGAAAACACGATTCATTGCCTGAAGCAAGAATTGGAGATCTAGGCTTGAGAT